ATATATATATATATATATATATATATATATATATATATATATATATATATATATATATATATATTGTTTGGGTTTAGGGTTTAGTGTAAAACCCTAAACCCTAACTGTGTGTAATCAAGCCACGAGAGAGGAGACGATGAAGCAGACAGCAGCAGCAGCAGCAGCAGCAGCAGCAGCAGCAGCAGCAGCAGACAAGACAAACACTGCAGCAGCAGCAGCAAACCTAAAGAATCTGTCTCCTACCAACTAGGGCCCCCACCATAGGGGGGCCCCCCGGGGCCCCCACTGAGGTCACCCGTGCTGCTAAGCAGCAGCTACTGTAGCTTCTATGAATACAGTAGCTGCTGCTGCAGCCGTTGCTGCTGCTGCAGCAGGTGCTGCTGCTGCAGCTGCTGCAGCAGCAAACAAAATTTGTCTGTTACAGCTGAGGGGGCCCCTGAAGGGCCCCCACTGTCCCTTAACACAAAAGGAGACAAAAGGAGACAGTAAAAGAGACAAAAGGAGACAGCATAAAAGACAAAAGGAGACAAAGGGAGACAAAAGGAGACAAAAGGAGACAAAAGGAGACAAAAGGAGACAATTCAAACTGAGAGAGACAGAGAGAGAGACAGATAAAAAGAAGAAAAAAATAATTAAAAAAGGAGACAAAAAAAATAAAGAAAAAGTAAAGGAGACACCGGAGACGTGCAGTCTATACAGAACGCCCCTCTCAACCAGCTGTCTCCTTTTTGTCTCTTTCTGTCTCCTTTTTTGTCTCCTTTTTGTCTCCTTTTTGTATCCTTTTTGTCTCCTTTTTGTCTCCTCTCTACTGTCTCCTTTCCTGTCTCCTTTTCTGTCTCCTTTTCTGTCTCTTCTTTTGTCTCCTTTCTCTGTCTTTCCTTTATCTCTTTCTCTGTCTCCCTTCTGTCTCCTTTTTTGTCTCCTTTTTCTATCTTTTTTCTGTCTCTTCTCTGTCTCTTTTCTTTTATCTCTTTTCTTTTATATTAAGCTTGTGGTGGGGTTGTAATATCTAGGGTTTAGGGTTTAGGGTTTAGGGTTTAGGGTTTGCGAGAGACAAAAACCAAAGCAAGAGACACACCAAAATGTTCCCTTTTTCTGGGGCTAGGGTTTAGGGTTTAGGGTTTAGGGTTTAGGGTTTAGGGTTTGAGAGAAACATATATATTATCTCCAGCACGAGAGACACAAAACTGTCCCCTTTTCTTTTTTAAAAAAGAAGATAAAGCTGCGTCGGCGTCTCCTGCTGAGGAGACACCGCAACGACGACGCCCGCTCTAAACATATACACAAAAAGGAGACAAACAAAAAGAGACAGTTGAAAGGAGACAAATAAAAGGAGACAGTTAAAAGGAGATATATAAAAGGAGACAAAAAAAGGAGACAAACAAAAAGGAGACACTTAAAAGGAGATATATAAAAGGAGACAGTTAAAAGGAGATAAGTGAAAGAAGACAAATAAAAGGAGACAGTTAAAAGGAGACAAATAAAAGGAGACAAATAAAAGGAGACAAATAAAAGGAGACAAATAAAAGCAGATATATGAAAGGAGACTAAAAAAAAGGAGACAAACAAAAGGAGACTAAAAAAAAGGAGACAAACAAAAGGAGACAAATGAGAGGAGACAAACAAAAGGAGACAAACCAAAGGAGACAGAAGAGGAGGAGACAGAAGAGGAGGAGACACCTAAAGGGAGAGAGAAAAGGGGGAGACAGAAAAGGAGACAGTTAAGCGAAGGAGACAGCAAAAAGGAGACAGTAAAAAGGAGACACATAAAAGGAGACAATAAAAAAAGGAGACAGCAAGGATACACACAAACAAAAGGAGACAGAAAAGGAGACAGAAAAGGAGACAGAAAAGGAGACAGAAAAGGAGACAGAAAGGGAGACAGAAGAGGAGACAGAAGAGGAGACAGTAAAAAGAAGAGACAAAAAAGAAAAGGAGACAACACGCATGCACAGAGACAGAAAAAGAGAGACAAAAAAACAAACAAAATATAAAACAACAAAAAACAAAAAACAACAAACGGAGACAGAAAAAGGAGACAGAGAAAGGAGACACAAACATATACATACGAACAAAAAAACAAAATAAAATAAAAAATAAAAAAAATAAAAAAATAAAAAAACAGCTGCCTATACACCTGAGCTGTACCTGTCTCTCATACCAATACATCGCCATCAAAGCCGCAACATCCTGCGGGATGTACCTGCAGCAGCAGCAGCAGCAGCAGCAGCAGCAGCAGCAGCAGCAGCAGCAGCAAGAGATAGGATATACCTAGATGAATTCCCCATGCAGAGAGGCAACCGTATTAGTTCTGCTGCTGCTGCTGCTGCTGCTGCTGCTGCAACTGCTGCTCTTCTTCGTGCTGCTATTGCTTCTCCTGCTGCTGCTGCTGCAACTGCTGCTGTTGCTGGTGTTGCTGGTGCTGCTACTGCTGCTGCTGCTGCTGCTGCTGCTGCTGCTGCTGCTACCGCCAGAGCTGCTCCACTTACTACTGCTAACACGACTACTGCTGCTGCTGCTGCTCCTGCTCCTCCTGCTGCTGCTGTTGCTATTGCTTCTCCATCTACTGCTACTGCTCCTATTTCTGCTGCTGCTGCTGCTGCTGCTTCTACTCCTCCTATCGCTGCTGCTGCTGCTGCTGCTGCTGCTGCTGGTGTTTGCTGCTGCTGAGTAAAGGAAATGTTTATGGGGCTGACCACATGCATGCAGCGACGCCGCACTGCACGAGAAGAGAATCTTTTCTGAAGGTGAGGAAAGGGAGTTTCATCGTGCTGCTGCTGCTGCTGCTGCTGCTGCTGCTGCTGCTGTTGCTGCTGCTGCTGCTGTTGCTGCTGCTGCNGCTGCTGCTGCTGCTGCTGCTGCTGCTGCTGTTGCTGCTGCTGCTGCTGTTGCTGCTGCTGCTGCTGCTGGGTTTACGGGTGTATCTGCGTTTGCTGCTGCTGCTTTTGTTGCTTTTATAGAAATTTATATTCTTTTGTCTTCTCTACAGAGACACAAAACCCCAGCCAGCTGCTGCTGCTGCTGCTGCTGCTGCATGCGGTGCTGCAGCAGCAGCGTCGTCTATGGGGCCTCGTGGTGATGAGGGTTTAGGGTTTAGGGTTTAGGGTTTAGGGTTTATGAGTTGCTATTTTTCTTTTATTTTATTATAATATTGCTGCTTTTTGTGTGTGTGTGTTCATCTATTTGGGGTGTACATACAGCACGCAGCAGAGCGGCAGCTGCCTATACACCCCAGCTCAGCGAGCGGGGGCCTCACTAAAGACCTAAACTTTTGTTTTTTTTCTCTCCTTCTTTTCTTTTTTTATTTCTATATTTATATATTCTACACAAATACACTCACTCAAATGCAAATGCTTAACCAGGGCCCCCTAATGCCCACCACAGGGGCCCCCCTTGCTGCAGCAGGGGCCCCCTTGACTGCAGCAGGGGCCCCTCTATCAGCAGCAGGGGCCCCTCTAGCAGCAACAGGGGCCCCCTTCACAGCTGCGGGGGCCCCCATGGGTACGAGAGCAGCAGGGGGCCCCGCTGCTTCACCCCATATAATCTCTCTCTCTGCTGCTTCTCCGCTAGTACCCTCGGGGGCCCCCTCAGGGCTCACAAGTTTGCCTATGCCATCAATAGGGGCCCCCCTGGGAGGGGCCCCCACGGGGCCCCAGGGGCCCCTGGGGCCCCTGGGGCCCCTAGGGGGGCCCCCGCAGCGGTCTGCTTCTTTGGTTAGTTCTGTACCCTCTCTATCGATGGCTCTATCTCCCGCTCAGTCTATGGATATGGGGGCCCTCCTGGCCCCGCGGGGGGCCCCCCAGGGGCCCCCAGCAGCAGCAGTGCAACAAACTCCTTCTTTACAGCTGCAGCAACTGCAGCAGCTGCAGCAGATGCAGCCTCCTGCTGCTGCTGCTGCTGCTGCTACTCCGTTTGCGATGGGGGCCCTTACTGGTACCCAGGGGCCCCTCAACCCTCAGGGGGCCCCCCCTTGCATTCCTCTTGGGGCTACACCTGCAGCAGCAGCAGCAGCAGCATCAGCAGCAGCAGCAGCAGCAGCAGCAACACCTCAACTAGCTCCTCCTCCTACGCGCATGCAAACTCTTCCTTCTGTGTCTGCTCCTGCTTCTGCTGCAGTGCTGCAGCAGATGCTGCCGCTTGCTGCTGCTGAGGGCCCCGGGGCCCCGGGGGCCCCCAACGTCCCTCTGCGAGCTCTGGGGGCCCCCCCTCTGACTGCAAACCCTATTAGCTCTGCTGCTGCTGCTGCTGCTGCACTGCAGGGGGGCCTCCAGCCCCTGGTGCCTGATGCTGCTGCTGCAGCAGCACAAGCTGCAGCAGCACATGCAGCAGCAGCACATGCAGCAGCAGCACAAGCTGCAGCAGCAACAATAACATCTCCTCCTCTGCTGCCGTCTCTGGGGCAGGTGCTGCTCTCGGGGCCCCCCGCAGGGACACAGCAGCAGCAGCAGCAGCAGCAGCAGCAGCAGCAAGCTTCTGCTGCTGCATTGGGTGGCCTCAAAGCAGCAACAACTCCCTCTCCGCTGCCTGATGCTGTCTTTGCTGCTGCTGGCTTCGAATTCCGGGAGCGTAGAAGGGTTGCTGCAGGGGGCCCCCAAGAGGCCCCTCGGCCT